TTTAAGCAACGGAAGATGTTTGTTTATATTTGCAAAACATCAATATAAATTTGATGAGGCAAATAATTTTAATGTACATACATGCACTTTCCATGCTCAACTTATCGCAAATTCCCCTGCAAAGCAACAACTGTGTAAAAATACATATTTTCTGCAAACATTTATTCTGATTTCGATAACAACAAATTGCTTGGAAAAAATACAAACAAGTTGGGGAAGTATATAGTAATAGTAGCTAGCTGATAATACCCAATGTGTTTCCAATATTTAAGAAAGAGACATAAGGAAGAAACTGCGAAATTTTAAAAACTGTTTGAGAAAGCTAGTGATTAATAAGTAAAAAAGAGTATATGTCATAAAATATAAACTTAAAGAAAAAGCAGCCTTTGTATTAAATTTGTTTTTATGATAAAAAACAAAAAAGCTCATATTTACACATTGTATCCATATTACATTTTTAAAAGTCTCAGAAAATAATTAAAAAGACAAGGAAAGACAAAATGATACACTATCATCAACAACTGAAATATCTATGGACTTGAACAATTCAATCCATTAAACTCTGCATATGCTCCAGAGATTTAACAAAGTGACTAAGTAAAATCACTTAGGACTGGGAGACAATACTCTAAGCCAGGGATCCCTCACTCCTGGGCCATGGATCATACCAATCCGTCATACAGGAGATGAGCGGCGGGCGAGCAAGCGAAATCAGAACCATCCCCCCCAGTCCGTGGAAATATTGTCTTCCATGAAATTGATTCCTGGTGCCAAAAAGGTTGGGGACTGCTACCCTAAATTGACTTCAAGAGATGCATTCACCCATCTTCTTCACCGCTCACCTGTTATCTGCAGTTTAAATTTTAAATGAAATCTAGACATAACACTTTCAGGAACTCACAAGTTTTCTAGAGCATTATTTTGTTACGCCCAAAGAACCTGGGTTCCAGGAAAACTAGAATTGCAGTAGAGGAGGATAGATTACTGAACTACAATTTTCATCAGCCCCAGCCAGCATAGTGCTAACTTATGTACTGTAAGAAATACTGTGCTGTAGTGCAGCAACATCATGAGGGTCACATGTGCCTCATTCCTACACTAGAGGACAGTGTGTATTCAAGATGGAGTTTTTCAAAAGTTTTAGCATTAAAAATACATAATACACATATTTTCAGAAATAAATATATACAGATGGGAAAATGTATACAAAATATAATTTTTCATTATTTCTTAAAAATGAAAACAGAATGATAACAGCTTGAGACTGAACACATATGAAAACTGATGTAGACTGTTTTGTTGATTCCTGTCTAATGAAATAGACAGGAATCTGATGTGGTAGAATCTATTCTTATTAAACTCATCTTAGAAGACTTTAAAAGTTTTAAACAAACTCATTGTGCTGCTTTCCCTTCATTTCAAAAGCATTGCTATCTTAGTCACTCATCCACCAATTTATGAATGCACGTAACACCAGACTGCCAGCACACCTGTTCTTTAATTTTTGCTAAAGAAGTTAAAAACTAATTCTAATTATTTACATTGTGAGCATACTTCTAAAATTAGCTAAGTTTACCTATAAAATAAATATGCAAGATTATGTACAAATTATAATTTACAGTGTAAATTAATTATATATTTAATCACAAATGTTTCTATATTTCAAAAATATCTACTATATTGGGCTGTCAAAGACCATGCTGAACAGGTACTTTGAGAATTGTAGATCCAACAGACTAAGGTTAAACAACGTTGTAATAGGGTTTTTATGATACTACTTTTATTTTATTATATATATTCTTATTTATCTTTATATTGTACTACCTGTTTTTCTGATGTGTGTGTGTATGTATATGTGTGTTTGTATGTAACAGTTGTACTATTGGATATTTTACTGTATCTGGCCTTACAACTCTGAACAAATAATCTTCTTGGGTCACACAATCAGCCAGATATTTAGACTGGATCTGGCATTTTTGTCTACCAATTGAATCTTTCCCAAGGCCTGGGATAGGTAGATTTGTATGTGTTTGTGTGTTTGTGTGAATGTGTGTTTTAACAACCCTGTAATCCCTTGCATCGAGGTGGAATTGGGGCGACTAAATGGAGCTGAGCATTTACTGGCTGGATGCCCTTCCTGACGCCTACGTGAAACTCACAGCAGATATTTTCTGTTTGCACCCAGAGAGAGAAATATCTGTCACTACCTAGGATCAAACTCACAGCCTCCTGATTGTGAGGGGAGAGCTCTACCACTAGGCCACCATGCCGCTCGGATAGGCAGACGTTATTTAATGATACTAAAATTATCATCAGAGGATATAAATGGTTCCAAATAAAACTACCTTTTGCAATTGACTGATGGTGATTTTGTCAATGCTGAGTGTGTTCAGATGGTGCGCCAGTTGGAATTGCACCCAAGGCACCTACTATTATAGGTGCTATCTTTGCTTTCTTTTGCCACAATTGTTCTACTTCTATTTGCAGGTCTTTATATTTTGTGATTTTCTCCAGTTCTATTTTTTTCTGCTGTCTCTAGGTATTGCAATATCCACTTGGTCTTTCTGATCAAAAAAGTATGGCAGACACTTAACTGTTTGAATTCTAAAGTTCCAGAGTACTTTTAACATCTTCATTTGATATTACTTTGGCTATTTTGTGTTCTCATCAATTCTTGCTTGCAAGCAAATGGTATTTCTTGCAGCTATTCCAATGCTCCATTGTTGCTACTTTGTCATGCTACTGTTTGCAATCTGTCTGCATGATCTTCTTCCAGCATTTAACCAGGTGATCCACTGTTTCTGTTTTCTCAATTCTAGCTTTATACTCATTTGTTCTTAAGACTTGGTCTCATGCATCCAGAATTAGCCTCTCTCTCTCTCTCTTTTCAACTTGCCTTCTCTTAGCCGTTGTCAGGTCTTGTTAGCTGCTTTGTCTTCTAGCTTTTTCATGTACTGGTCATGTAATAATTTTTCTTGCCACGACTCTTTTCTATTCTGTAAGAGCCGTGGTGGTGAGTGGTTAGAATGCAGTATTGCAGGCTAACTCTGCTCACATTGGCAGGAGTTCGATCCTTCCTTCCTGATTGGCTCAAGGTTGACTCAGTCTTCCATCCTTCTGAGGTCAGTAACATGAGGACCCAGAATGTTGGGGGCAACATGCTAACTCGGTAAGCTGCTTAGAGAGGGCTATAAAGCACTTTGAAGGGGTATATAAATCTAAGTGCTATTGCTATTCTCTGTTTGGTTATTTCTTATAGGTCAGTTTGGTCTTCCCACTATTCAGTAACCACTTCTGGTATACTAGCTTTGGTATGTTTTCTTCAGTATGTCCTTCAGATATTCTTCCTCTGTTCTTGTTTTCTTCTTCAACTGACTGATATAATTGCAACACTCCATACCTATTCATGCTCCTTGGTAAATAGTGTCTGTCAACATCTCTGCATGGATGAAGGGGTTGATTCATTGTCATTATTTTTCTGGTCTTGTTATTCAGAGCTTTTAGTTCTGCTCGAGTCCAATTCTAGCTGTATCTAATGAATGGAATTGAGCGACATTTCCACCACCAAGTTTGGACTTTAAGATTTTCACTCTTCTGTTGTATTAACTATTAATGTTCTTCTTGACCTTGTTATCAACCTGAAGGAGACTCAGGTATTTGTACTACTACTACTACTACTACTACTACTACTACACTACTACTACTACTATAATAATAATAATAGTTGGAAGGGACTTTGGAAATCATCTAGTCCAACGCTCTGCCCAGGCAGGAAACCCTATACCATTTCAGACAAATGGTGTCCAGTCTGTTCTTAAAAATTTCCAGCGTTGGCGCATTTACAGCTTCTGGAGGCAGGTTGATCCACAGATTAATTGTTCTAACCTTACTTTTTTCACCACAGAATTTCATTTTGTTAGATATCACCCAATTTTCAAGTCTGTCAAGAGCCTTCTATATCTTAAGCCTATCTTCTGGAGTGTTGGCTATTCCTGCCAGCTTGGTGTCGTATGCAAATTTGATGAGTTCCCCATCTATCCCCTCATCCAAATCATTGATGAAGATGTTGAAGAGCACTGGGCCCAGAACAGTCCTGGGGCACCCCACTACACACTTCCCTCCATGTAGATGCAGTTCCATTGATGACCACACGCTGAGTACAGCTGGTCAGCCAGTTACAAATCCATCTGATGGTGATGCTGTCTAACCCACATTTTTCTATCTTATCAAGTAGGTTGTGGTCTAGTTTATCAAATGCCTTACTGAAGTCCAAGTAAATTATATCCACAGCATTCCTCTGATCCACTAATTTTGTCACTTGGTCAAAGAATGCAATAAGATTTATCTGGCATGATCTGTTTTTGACAAACCCATGTTGGCTTTTGGTAATGACTTTGTATGCCTCTGGTGTTCACTGATTCGTTGCTTGATTATCTTTTCCAGAATCTTCTCAGGTATTGAGATCAGGCTGATAGGTCTCTAGTTTCCTGGATCAATTTTTTTTCCTTTTTTGAAGATCGGAACTACATCAGCTACAACTACATCTTCATTCAGATTCTTGATGTTATTTCCACAGAACATTTTGATTCCTTCAATTTTCAGTATTATTCCTCTGTTGATAGCAAGGATAGCATGTTTATCCAATCCAAAGTCTATTGCAATATCTTAGTTTTATATTTGGACAATGTTGAGCAGTGATGCTTTTTAGATATAATTTATTTAATGTTATTATATATGTTATTTATCTTTATATCTTATTATACTCAATTTTTTTCTGATATATATGCATATATGTATGATTGTACGTATGTATGTAAAAGTTCTACTATTGGATATTCTTTATCTATTTTGTGGTCCCACCAGTTATGGCATTTCTTCCAGATATAAACAATTTCCTTTTAGTAGGAGTTTATTTATCCATATGCAAACAAAAATGTAAAGTAGCTATGTTTTACCAACCCACAACTAGCTTTTAGTCAATAAGAAGTTTAGAGGCTTACCTTTCATATATAGTTCTATCTTTCTAATAAGTTCGTAAGATTTTGATCGATCCAGTAATGTTCTGATAGCAGGAAGAGGATCCAGAATTATAGTTTCAGGATGAGCATCAATATATTCCTAGGGAAATGAAGACATGGCATGTGATATTCTTCAGAGAAAAAAATACTGTTGGAAACTTAATACATGATAGGAAGATACCTCCAGTTCAGCATACCTTCGATTAACAATAACTGAATTTCAAGTAGTATCAAAGCAATCATTTAATTACAGATGGTGTAATTTTCAACCATATCCCAAAATTAAAGTGATACAAACTATAGTAAATGTATATAGTATCTGTAAACATGTTGGATGACAATTCCTGAAATTCTCACTAAAGATGGTATGCAACTGCAGTTCCAAATAATTGGAAGACACATCAGGCGAGGACAGTTGATTTGCAATTTCTCTCATTCCTCCTATGTTTGTATACAAAATTTTCTTAACAATATATATGCTAAAAAGCCTTATTTCAACATTTGATGATATTTTCATTGCAATGAACACTAGCATAACAGCAGCAGAAATACCAGGTTATCCTGGATCATTAAAACAATCTAGGTATAGCTAAATTTAAAATAATGTATAATTTTTTCTATAGCTACTAATCATAATGGATAGACATAACACTTCCTAAGCTAGACAGTCAAATACTGAATACCAGTTACTGGATCCACAAGTGATGGTGGATTCACATTGTGATTGTTAGTTCCCCAGAAATACATGACTAGACACTGTGAGAACAGAACACTGAACGATCTAAACCTTCTTAAATTGACAATTCGTACAACAACCATGATAGCAATAAGACCATTAAATTAACATCTGATGAAGTTAGACTCATGCCTGAATAAAAAAACTTATAGTAGTAATTGTGCTAACCTTATGCCTAAAGACTTAGACTGTATGCAAAATGTAGTCAGTTACGCAATATCTCAAGTTTAGCAGAGTTACCAATACACCACATCTTTAATCTGATAAATCTGGATCTATATTCTAAAAAGCAAATCCAAAAATCTTTTTAAAATCTTCAATAATTAAAAAGCCCACCAATAATCTCCTGACTCCAAATGAAAATCCATCCTGAACCTTCAACTGTTTTAATTCTGCCTTTAAACTGTTTAGTGCTATTTTTGTCAGAATAGCAAGGATGCGGATTCTATTTATATGCAACTCTGTGTTAAACTTTTTAAAGGGCAATAGGATCAATCTAGTCAATACTGTGTGTGTACTCCTATTACATTTTCAATATCATATATCTATAGATATTTGGGAAAATGAACCTTTGCTTGGATTTCAGGACAGATATTTATTAAGATATCTTTAAAAGCTCACAGAAAATGAAGGAATTCCTTTATTTGTGAATCATCAGAACTACATGCCAAAGAACAGCGACAGTAAACAGTAATTATTTCCATAATTTTGCTTTTAAAACATACGCTGCAAAAGGGAGTGAATAATTTATATCTCTCTTTTTAAAAATGTAACCTGTATGTCAAACTGTCTATCTTCAAGTCTTCTTTTGTGGAAACCTTACTAAAACCTGAAAGACAATTATTTTTAAGATAAATATTCTAATGTCAGATTGTATAAAAGTAGGAATCCACAGACTCATGATTGTTTATTGTTTAATAATATATGCTGCTCCAATTAAAAATTACTCTGAGTAACTTGTAATTCCGTATCTAGTATTAAGATTAACAAGTAGAACAAAACATTACAAATTATAACAAAGATATAACAAACCTACATCAATTGCTACCAGCATTCTTCAGGATTGACCAGTCCATATCTTTAAAACATCCTCTCAAAGAGCCAAGTCTTAATGACATTCTGAAATTGTAGCAGAGGATGTTCTAGAGATATGCTGTTCCAGAGAAGTGGAACAATGACAGAGAAGGTCTGTCCTCATGGTCCATGAAGATATCACCCGAGAGGGTCAAGACTTGGAGAATTTCCTTTCTTACTGGATGGGCAGGTACCACAGGCAATATATATAATCTTTTAATCTTTTTTTTCTTATTTGGTTTGCCTATATTCTTTGTAGCTATCTTTTGTTGTACACACATTCATATGTATATACTATGTATGTGTGTGTGGGGGTGTATACACACATATGTATACACAAATACACACACACATATACATAAACACACATATACGTGTTTGTGTGGTGTGTGTGTACAACCAATTATAGCTACAAAGAATATAGGCAAACCAAATAAGAAAAAAAAAAGATTAAAAAAAGCCAAGGCAAAATAAAGTAATTTTGATGGAAATAATTGTTTAGGCTTCTCCATCGAGATCCAAACAACTTTTATAGACTGTAATGTAGAAAAAAATGATGAAAAGAAAGTAAGAAGTGTTGTGAGAATATTAAACAATTCAAAGACTCCCAGGTGTAGATAATTAAGCAATGTTGAAATATGGACATGCTTATGGAGTAGCTGTGTGATTTTTTTCAGTCTCTTTCTCCCCCCCCCTTTTTGTCTCTCTTTCTTTCTCTGTGTGTGGGCGAGTGCACATTGCAATACTTGGAGATAGCAGAAGAAAAGAAAACTGGAGAAAATAACAAAGACCTACAAATAGAAGTAGATTGATTGTGGCAAATAAAAAGCAAAGATAGTACTGATAGTACTTGTGTGAAATTCCAAAACAAGTGAGCACCACTTGAACACCATTGGCATTGACAAAATCACGGATCAGTCAATTGCAAAAGGTAGCTTTGCTTAGAACAGCTTACATCCTGTGATGATACCTCTAATATCTTTACACAACATCTGCCTATTCCAGGTCCATGGGAAGGAGTCAATAGGTGGACAAAAATGCCAGATTCACTCTAAACATTGGACTATGCAACCATCCATAATATTTATTAAATGTGTATGCTGTCGGAATCCCTGAGTCTTCCCACTTTGTTTTACAGATGTTAAAGCTGGGTATGTTAGCAAAAGTATAAAAATAAGCTGGATGCAGCAAGAATAGGGTAATTAGGAAATGTGTAACTTAAAGCAAGAAAATATATGGACAGGAATGAAAAGATCCTGGATGAATTTGGACTGGATAAAAAACAAATGACCGATATGAAAGAAATACATTGAGGTGGCTTGGTCATAGAGAACAAATGACGATCAAATCACAAAACAAATATATAAATTAATGAGTGGGTGGAGTGAAAGAGAAAGATCAAGAGGTTGCTGATGTGATACTCAGATAAGAGGCAAGTGAGAATGGTAAAGAACAAAAGGTATTGTATGAAGCAGAGTATGGACGTAAGAAAGCAAGAATGATTAATAAAGATAGTAAGCCATTAAGAAATATAGTGAATGATGGTTGTATAAGCTACATTTAGCTATGTTTCTTTTTCTGTTTATCTCATGCTTTAATTATGTCACCTTATTTTTTCCCTCCATTACTGCACTCTCCATAACTTTGCTTACTTTGAAAGCAAACAGCATGATAGATATATTTGTATGCAGGGCTTTTTTTGTCATAGAACGCCCAGAACGGAGTTCTGGCACCTTTTTTGGATGGAACCTTGTAGGGTAGGCAAGGTGGGCTGTATGACGTGTGTGAGTTCTGGCACCTTTTTTTTTTTTTTTTTTTTTTTTTTACGAAAAAAGCACTGTTTGTATGGATGTATACTGATATATAGGCATATAAGCAACAGATTTTTTACTGATTAAACTCAGTAATTCTTTTTGTGATGGAATGATAATGAATGCATGTAAGCAGAACTATAAAGAACATTTGAAAGAGGAGCTTTGAAAAATGTGTTAGTGGAACATTTGTCTCTGAAATGTTAAAGCAGCTGTGACCTTTGCAAGGCTGGTGTGGCCACTTTGTGGCCTCCAACTGACAGACTGTACAAATACATGTGTTTGTACAGTTTGTTTGATGACAGCCCTAATGGAAGCATTGTCTCTGCCTCCACAGACAAGGAAAGACAACCTTTACCATTTCAAAAAGAGGCACTTTGCTTGAATTAAAACATGCCACAAAACAGGGTTCTGCATGTACATACAGTAGATGAACCATATATACTTTAATGGTGGGATAAGCAACCTCAAGTCTACATGGAACTCCCTAATAGACATAAAATCATACCACCAAAATTAGGCTTGGTGATTTTCAATAACAACCAAAGATAGAACTAAAGATAGGAAAGACAAAATTAGACTTTTTATAAAGGAAACATTCCCATCCTCACTCTTACTTTTCCCTCTAAACTCAGAAATTATATAAAAAAAGGAGGCTGGAAATCACTGTATCATCAGAAGACCTGTGGTCCAATAATAGGTTAAGAAACTCAGGTGTGGCTTCTGCCCATAAAACATTACTCATCACTGGTTTAATGAGTATGTAAAAAAATTCCTGACTGGACATTATTAGTGCAGCCCATCTTTCCCAAATTTGGAATTATGGGAACTGAAAATACATGGCAGACTCAAATTGAATGAAGGTTAATCATTTTCTAACTTCCTAGTCCTTTCATGGAAGCATAAACTTGGAAATAGCATTGATAACATAAAATTGGATGCCCTTTAATTCTGAGAAGGGTAGATCAATAATTCTTTCCCTTAAATAAAAGAATGGGCTGAAACAGTTCAGAACTAAACAAAATCAATTCCTAGATGCAGAAATACGTTCGTTTAAATTTGAAATAGATAATGTGAAGAAATTAAGGAGAAATGTGTAATACTTTAGAAACAGTTAAAAAGTTACCTGCCTGCCACTTTGAGTTATCATATTGAGTCTGAGAGGGCAGAAAGTCTATTCCAAAGAATAAGGCTATACAAATCTTCTTTTAACTACAAAGCAAAAAATAATTACAATGCCATTGTTCTATTAGGAACAAGCTTGCTTTTAATTTTCTACATATCCGGGAGAAAGAGAAGGAAATACTGCTAGACACAGTGTTTTTCCAAGCTTTGGCAATAAATGAACAGTTGTGTGATCATGTCATCAACGGAAATATGCGACTTTTAAAATGCAAGCAAGGAAAATGCCCCCTTGAGCAACAGCAAAATAAAATGGCTATATTAAGGCATTGCATATTTTTAGCTTGACCCTGGATTTCTCCATCTCTGTATCTCTATTTTAGTTAGGCCCGAGGAGTAAAACTGATGAGGAATACCTATTACCTCTTAGGCAGTTTGTTTAATAGCTATGTCTCTTGGGAGACCATCTCAGTTATTTTCACATGGGAAAAAAATATTATAGAGGAATAGTAATCTTAATCCTGATAGTGGATCATTTTAGGGCAAAGATTTATAGAAAAGGCTATATTGCATTCCACACTCTGTAATCTCATTTGGTGAACAGGAAACTAATTACTAGTTCATCTACAAAGAACAAGCAATACTGTAGAAAGTAAATACAGATCCAGTTTTCAAAATAATTCTTCTAAAAACAGAGTTCTAGGCAGGTTTCCTAGACTAGCACAGTTAGTTTGTTAGCAGGACAAAACAAGTGAAAACATGTCTTTTCTTCCTGCTTTTTTGCATAAGTGGGCGACTTTTTGGTGACTAGGAGCTGCACTTAGCACTATTTGAGTGGCCCAAGGGATGCAGTGGGGAAGGTGAAGAGATGTTTCATTCAAAATGAACATGACTGGCATGATCTATTTTTTCTTTTTTGTCGATTTTGTAAAAAGACTATGTTGTCTACTTTATATACTTGCGTGCTATTTTTATATCTCAATATGGCACCATTTTTAGCAACTGAATCACCAAAATTCAATAGTGTTGTCAGGGAAGGGCTCTCAATACCACAAAATTTAACTTTGTAGGTTGCA